GGGGGGGGTGCCATGGTGGCCAGGCGTGGGCAGCACCCTCAGCACCACGCAGCATCATGCCCAGGGCACGGGTGTTTCGGCGCTGCTGTGGCACCGCGGCTCTGGTTTGGGAAGCAAAGGGGAAAGCAAGCTCCTCATCGGTGCAGAGAGTTTTCTGTGGCACCAGATCTGGATCAGGCCCCTGTCACCTGCGGCAGCACCTCTGCCTGCATGTGCCCCACATTTCCCACCGCCGGGACCAAACGGGAGGCGAAGGCACTGTGCCACCACGACAGCCGGGGTTCAGGGTCGCCGGCGCAGAGCTGCTCACGTGCGCGGTGCCCGTCTGCGGCGCAGGCAGCTGCGTATCCGTCTCCGCGCGCAGACAGGGATGTTTTGGCGAGGGAGCCGTGGGAGCCGGAGTGTAAATATTTCATAGTCAACCGGGGCGGGGGGGGGAGGAAGGCGGAAAAAGTGTTACTACAGAAACAGATTTACACGGAAGAGGCTAAAAAAAAGGAGGATAAAAAAAAAGCCGAGTGATGTATTGCAGCCTTTCATGGTTTCTATGCCAACCACCTGCAGAGCCAATTCCACAACTGACGGGACGTGTCTGGCTTTCCCCAGCCAGACGCGGGGCCGGGGCAGAGCCGGCACGAAGCCAACACCACCGTGGCCGGGCACCCTTTCACCTGCGCTGCCGTGAGCCCACCCTGGCATCCCCCAAGGGACATGGCACCATCCCCAATGGGGGAAAGAGCAGGGAGTTAGAAAACACAGGCGGTCCCAGGTTAAACTGCGCACGGTGGGACTGCAGGGACGGATGGATGGACGTCTGTGGTCTGGGATGCGCAGGGATGGGCACAGGCAGCCCCTGCTCTGGCTGGCACCCACCCCAGCCTCCTCCTCCTGCCACAGAAGAGATGTCCCTGGGTCCTGTTCCCTCCATGGTGGCATTTCCCACTCTCCCTGTTCCCCTTCCACCCGGAGAGCACCCCAAATCCCCACTGCTGTGGGTGCGGGGTCAGGAGCAGAGAGGTTTCATGCCACAAGAGGTACAACGGTCCCTGCTCAGCTGCACCATCGTGAACCTGGGCTGGCCGCAGAGCCCTGCTCCCCATCTCAGGGTGCTCAGGGCTGCACCCTAGAGCAGGCACAGGCTGCACCGACACGGGGCCGGGGCTTGGTGCCACACAGAGGCATGGCGTGCGGGGAGCCCCCAAAGCTCACCTGATGCTGAGGAGGGGTCTGGTTTTGTGCACTTGGACATCACACATGGGGCAGTACTTGTTCGTCTCCAGGTACCGAACAATGCAGGTTTTGCAGACTGTGGGGAAAGATTCGGCATGAGCAGATGGACAGACGGACGAGGGGGCAGAGCCCCTGTGCCAGCCCAGCAAAGCAGCCCTCACCCCCGCACTGGCTCGGGGCTGGGACCCCTGCTCGCCCCCATCCATGACCCCACAGCTCCATGCGGCAGCAATGCCTGATGCAGGATGGTTTTGGGCACCGCAGGAGGGTCTTGGTGCAGCACGGCCACCCTTCCCGGGGCTCGGGGTACCCCAGGTACAGCGTGGCCCCGGCCGGGAGCCCAGGACACTCACAGGAGTGCAGACACTCCACGATGGTGGTGGCGTCTATGAAGTAGCCGCCGCACAAGGCGCACATCAGGTGGGGGTTGAGCTCGGTGATCTTTATCCTGGTGGTCCTGTGCATTTTGGAGCAGCGCCGCGGTGGATCCTCCCTGCAGGGAAACACCCAGGGCCACCATTAATGGCCACTTCGTGCAAGGACGGGACCCGTGGGACCCACTTCACCCATGAAGGAACAAATCCAGAGCAGGGTGGGGGTGCCTGACACTCGCCCTGATGTGCCATGCTTTGCCACGAGAGCACTGGGACAGCCCCAGCCCTGCACCCTGCCACCCCCGGGGGTGCGCAAGCAGCACCCACACACCTCCCCACGCAGGTCCTGGTCCTGGTCACTGCCCAGCTCCCTTAGCCTCATGTTTACATCTTCCTGGGGGTGCCCCAGTGGGTCCCCACCATGCCAAGTCACCTCTGAGAGGGGACAAATCAACCCTGTTAGCCAGCCCCTTGCTTGCAGCTCCCCGGGCTGTGCACGCACACACACACCCAAAGTGTATTTTTGTTTTGTTCGATGGAAAAGGCATTTTCAGCCACTGCCTCGCGGTTTCTATAGAAACTCCCGAGTCCGGTGTTGGCCACCTGCCCACGGCCAGGAGCACCCGCAGCACCTGCGTGTGTGGGTGTGCAGGGCCGGGTGTGCACACAAGGTTCGGGCAGCGTCCCCCGGCGTGGGGCGCAGACGTGGGGGAATCGCTGCCTGCCCGCTCCGGCACTTCCACGTTTACAATGGGAGACGGTAGAGCTGGAGCCCGAAATCGCTGCAGTTTTATTGTTTCCATGGCAACCCCGATACTTGGAGAGGAGCCAGAATATTATTACAACCATCCGAGGCGAGGGGGAAAGGGGAGAAGAAACCCTGGGTTTGTGTAAATGAGCGTGGGCGCAATGGCAGAGCCGGGGTGTGCCGACAGCAACACCCGTACGTACCCACAACCCCACCCACCCCGAGGGAGACACACACACACGCACGTGTGTGTACACACATACGACACCTACATGCTCGTATCCCCTACATGCACAACGGGCGAAGATACACACGCACACGCTTGCACCCCTGCGGTACAGGCGCTCGCACGGGGCCAGGTACGAAGCGCTGTCACCGGCAGCCTGACACGGGGCCAGGCCCTTCGCAGACACCCCACAGCTGACAACCGGACAACGGCCGAGACAACCGCCGAAGGCACAACGGGTACCACGACCGGGCGAGGAACGGGGTGAACCCCGCACCCAGGGAGCAAAACAGGGTTGCACGCGTGCGCGTGCGTGCACGGGAGCGTGTGCGCGTGCGGGGGTGCGCACGCCGGGTGGGTGCGCACAGGGCTGTGCGTGCGAGGCTGTGGGGTTTTTTTTGCGCGTGCAGGGGTGCGTGCTCGGGGCTCTGCGATGGAGTGGTGCGTGCAGGTGTGTTTGTACAACACCGGGTCCGTGCCAGGCGCCTGCCCTGGGGAAGCCGCCCTAAGGCTCCCGCTTGCTCCCTGCGGTGCTTCTCCCGGGCTCCAGTCTGGGTCTCTCATCTCCTTCACCCACCGTGGAGTCCCCGGAGGCAGGTCTGCAGGGATGGGGGACACCGTGGGGATGGGGATGCTGCAGGGATGGGGATGCTACGGGGATGGGGACCTCAAGGACACCCCTGTGCTGGAGGGGCAGGGGCCAAGCTGAGCCCCAGGGTCTCCTTACAGGGAGGGGGTCGGGGCACCAGGGTGTTTGGGAAGCCCCCACACCCCCCAGGCTCAGCTCTCACCCCTGGGCATCCCTTGGGTGAGCACCCCGGGGTGCCCTGCACCTTGCTGCACCCGAGCAGGTGCCCTCAGCCCTCCGTAGCCCACAGGTGATGGGGGGCCACGGCCAGACTCCCGCCGGCCAGGAGGAATGCCTGGGGGGGGGCCGCGGTCCCCAGCCCCGGGGCTCCCGCACCGACCCCTGCCAGGGGACCGGGCAGCTCCACCGGGCACCAGCTGCCCACGGCGGGCCGCAGGATCCCACGGCTGCATTTTGGATGGATTTTGCCGCTTTTGGTGCTCACAGCCGCCAATGGCGGCCCGGGTCTCCGCGGGAGGGGGGGGGGAGGCTGAGCCACCGGCGCAAACCGGTTCTAATAAACCGGGTGATAACAACGGCGATTTCCTGCCGCGGGGGCAGAAACAAAGCCCCGGACCCCCCC